ATATTGGTTGCTATAGTAAATAAACTGGTTGCTAAGATATGTTTGAGTGGTTGCTATGGTGTTTTCCCATCAAAATAAATTTGTTAATGCAATGTTTAGGAATTTTCAGTACATATGATCATTATAAAGCTAAAATGAAAATATTGTTGTTGGTTATTATTTCCCAAAACAGTTAAATATTAAATCCAAGAGCTTTCAACATTGCTTTTTCGTGGGTGGTTGCTAGGCAACGGGGGCATCAGAACAATAAAATAAAGTTATAATTCAAAAGGTAGACTCATGTTCATCTTCTATTATAAATATTGTTGAAATATGAAAGGGGGCAAATATTTGTAATATACCACACTTACTTCTTTGTGCACTGATGATAAAAGTAGTTTTGGTATCTGCATTTCATGTTCTTATGCGAAGACCATTAATAAAATCAAATCACTGAAAGTGACAAATTTATTTCAAAGGTATTATAGAAAATCAAATAATCAACAAGAACAATTCATGTAACAAATTTAAAAAATATAGGAAGTACACTTTCCCATTTTTGCAACATGTTAAAAATCATCCTCACTTTCATCAATTGTATACATATCTGTATCCCCGAAGACATCTGATATAATTGAACATATTTTAATTGCAATGTCATAGTTCCATATGGGAAATTTTCGCATGACATCATCGGGACTAAATAATGTGTCACAATATTTCACAATGTTGTCAATCACCTCATCTGTCAGTCCACAGATCACATCTGTTATCATCGGTGTTGAATGAAAATCTGAAAGCTCATATTTAAGCAGATTGAGTTTATGACGCAACAGTGATTTCTCACTTTCATTGGTGTTCCTTTTCATCTCTTCTTCATCTGAATCAGCATCCTCGAAATGTTGGTCGAATGCAGGGTGTGTTCTTGGGCATTCTGTATGACCGCATTCACAATTTCGCTCACAAATATCACAACAGTTGTGTAATGGAATTATGATTGCTGCTTTATGAACATATCCTTCACATAATAACTTGCGTCTACATTCTGCATTATCTTTACATAATTTCACAAGGTTCAGACTCCACATTTTTCAAGTGACCTTTATGTGCCTTGTAAAGGACAAGTTCATTGGCTAATGATCCATCCCGTCCTCCGCGTCCCATCTGTTGTACAAATGTGTCCATTTCCCTAGGCAATCCATAATGTATGATGTTATTTGTCCCATGAAAGTTCACACCCATTCCTGCAGAATTTGTGCAGATTAGTATTCGAATACGTCCATCTTTAGCCATATCCACTCGGATTTCATCTTTTTTGGTGTCTGGTGTTTTACTGTGATACATTTCAAAGTGTTCTTTATTTTTATTGAAGAACTTGTAAAAAGTAGCATACACTTTAGAAACTGTGGATATTGTTTCACAAAATATAATGTGTCTTGGAAGCTTTTCTTTCAATTTTTTAAAGTCATTCAGCAACCACATGAATGTAGACTTAATATTGTCATTATTTGGTATTTGAAGAGATGATATCTTAATGTTTTGTCGGTCGGGGCTCTCTGTGATAACTTCACATCCTGCACGAAAAAACAACATCTTCATTATCTTTCTCCTATTTGAGGGCCCTGAAGTTGCTGTTAGAGCAACAAGTGGTACTTCAGGGCATAATGACCTCAACTGTCCAATCTGTGAAAACCATTCCCTAAATGGTTCCTCTTGATCAGAACCTTCACCCCTGGAAATAAAAATCAACAATATGTATTAGTAATGTATACATACATACTGCTATGTTTATTAAAGGAATCGGTCTCAATTTGATTACTGCAATATTGTCTGAGTATACTACATTACTTCATTAATATCATGTACATGGAGAAAGTCATACAGCAAACTCCCAGGGATCTAATAATTACTTTGTTATACATGTAAGAATTATTTAATATGTCTCATAATGATTAGTTAATTTGAAACTTTAGGGAAAGAAAATCACTTCATAGTCAGTATGATAATTAATATGTTATTGGTGTGTTCATAATATTAATCATGTTATAAGTCTTGTAATCATTGAAACTGAAGTGCACCAATAGCACCTACAATTATGTACTACAATATCGTGTCATTTTTAACAGACCTGTGGAAACTAGAAAATTGAATTTGTCTATCAAGTGTTCTATGAAGTGTTCCCTACCGAAATGTGGTCAATTGTTTAGCTCTACTAATGTACTATACTCAAAGGGATTCTAGACATCCAACACTTTTAATCCGTAACGATTAGCGATTTTTTAATAGTGTGTAATTGCAGAATTAAATGAACAATTCATAAATGTACCATTGTAAAACTGTATGCGCCTCGTCTACTGCGATCAGCTTTAATTTTTCTTGGTAAATTGTTGATTTCAACATCTCACGCCACTTATTACTGGCTAGGAGCATCTCTGGACTTCCATACACAAAGTCATATGATCCACGTTCTATTTCAGTGTTCTCCACAGAATCTCTTCCAATGTATGTTGCCTTAAAACCGAGCTTTGTTAATTTAGTACACTGTTCAGTCATAATATTAATTAGAGGTGCAATAACTAACACGCATGTATTTGGGTATACAAGTGGAAACATTCGTAAGTCAGTGATTTTCCACTACCAGTTCTCGTTCTCAGGAATACGTCACGTCCTTGTTGAAGCGATAGTATACTTCTATTCTGCGTCTCTGTTATAGAATCTAAATGGAACCGACTACAAATTTCAGCTTCTCTGTTTACACGTTTCGTAGGGGCCGCCATGTTTATCAAGTATGAGAGTAAGACGGATTTTGATTGGGTTACAGACTACTAATTTTACCCCTATTTCATTGACCACTCAAGTAGTTCGAGTTTAAAAATAGGGGTTTTTTCTTAAAAATTCTTTGGGGTGTTTATGGAGTAGAATAGGATTATTTTTGGGCATAAATGGAAAGGAGAGGGTCTGAAAAAAATTATAAAAATGATAATAATGGGAAATTTTGCTTTTAAGTGCGTAGTAGGAAGGGTGTAAAGAGGCCCATATTTACCCTTTCCTCGAAGAGAAAGTGAAAAAAGCAGGGTAGGGGTTATTTGCGATGCCATAAAAGGACTTGCAGACTATGAATGTTCCTGAGAACTTGAAAAATTTTTGGACTTGAAATGGTCTTACTCTGTGCCAAGTTTCAGGTAAGTTGAGCCGGTGTAATTTTTTAAAATATTTTTTATGTTATAAAGGAATGTATAGCAAAATAATTGGTAGTCTGTGTCCTATCAGGTCAAAGGTCAAAACTCGTGTTAATCAGTTTATTGGCACTTTTCGGATAATTTGGAACTAATTATGCTAATTGTTGAAAAAATTAATGGATAAAATTATATTCTGGAGAAGTTAAATGGGTTTAAATAATTGAAAAGGGGGAGGGGGCACCTCCTCATGTTGTCAAAGGGTATGACATAATGTGTGCAATTGATGTGTGTCAAGAATTTATGCAATATGAATTTTGATTCTTTATATAATGTTGTAGGTAACATAAAACCCATTCCCCACCTATCCTGTTATCTTAAATGTCAAATGGAGTTCAAAAACCAAGGTATGTTTTTAACATTTGATTGTTCAGATTACATTATTGTTAGTAGGTAAGAAATGCCTAATTTCTCAAAACTTAAGCTACTTTGTGTCTGTAATTATAGTTGTCCCAATTACTTATTAATTTAACACAATAACTTATTAATTATGAATGTGAACTGAAGTTAAAATGCTTTTAAATTCATTTTTTAAGTGGCTCATTTTCAGCGGATTGTGGGGGTCGCATGCAGTTGTAGCCTGGATGGGTGACGAAAAAAAAATTTAGACCAGTTGCCAGTCAGAAGTGAACAATTTTTGTACCAGAAGCAGAGAAAGTGGGCATTCAGAAAACAAGATACAGCTGTCATCAATATTGCAGTCAAAAGCAGCCAAGTTAAAGGTATACAATCAACTGACTCGTAGTTAATGTATTATTTTTGTTTGTTTTTTTTTTATTTATATACTGTTTTCATCTGTTCATCATCATCTGTTGCTTATTAATGTATACTCTCTAAAACTTTCTTTTTTTCTTTCAGCTTATGGAAATGAACATCTGCTGTCTGATTGCTGGCACTGATCTGTGATTGTCCAAGACAGGGGAGGTCAGTAAGGTGCTCAACATTTCATATGGATGTTTGGCCTTACTGTCTTTTTCTACTCTTGAGGAATCTTGGACATCATTGTCGGTGGTCGCATATCAGACAAAATCATAATTTTTGAGAAAGACAGGTGTTTTAGAGAATTTGGATCAACTTTGTGCAGAAATAGTGCTCCACATGACAGGCAGAATTTATGTACTCCAGTTTAATAGAACCTTCTCTACCCCCCCCCTTCCTGTTCTTAATAGTGAATTTCCAAGCAACTCCAGGACTAATTATATGTGACACAGGCATGGTATGTATTTTCTGTGTTGAACAATTGAATGTATGTATAAATGTGTTTTAATTGTTTTGTTCTTTGGTACCTTTGCAGTGCAGAGTTGCCTCCCCTTTTTTACAGCATCCTGAAGAATGTATGTAGGTAAAATGTACATTTAAATTCCTTTTTTTTTTTGTAAATTCAGAATTATAAAATCCAAATTTTCATGGAATTTATGGTATTTGTTGTCTAATCATGCATATTGTTACAAGAAATATCCATCAAAGGAGTCTAAATATGACCAGGGATAATCCAATTAGAGTAGTAAGTACCACTTCCTGACAGAGGCTGAATCGACCAGGTTGGATAATCTGCTTATAACAAAGGTATTAATCTCTTTTCCTTAGCTTTTATACTGATTTTTCATAGCCTAAACATTTTAGAATTTTTTAGTATTAGTTTTACTAAAATTTAAATGTGCTAAATATTTTTATTTTTAATATTTTCAAGAATTTTATGCTTTTTGAAGGTTTTTTTTTTTTAAATTAAAAATATTTACTAAAGTAATAGGTTAAGTTTTTTTCTTGAATATTGTGTAGGACATATTTATCTAGTTTACAAAAATATAAGAAAAGAAAATAACTGTAATATGTGTGAGTTGTGAGCATTTCAAATCTGAGATCTGTGTGTCTAATGCTTATTTTACCCTCTGCTTTAAGGTGTTCCAGCACATTATTTAAAGGACCATAACTCTGTTTAGGGATCATCAATTTCAATGAAACTTCATTGGCCACTTTGTATAAACCAAAGACACCAGCATGCCAAATTTCAGCAAAATCAGACAAGGTTTGTGTCCTTATTAGGTTACAGACTACTAATTTTACCCCTATTTCATTGACCACTCAAGTAGTTCGAGTTTAAAAATAGGGGTTTTTTCTTAAAAATTCTTGGGGGTGTTTATGGAGTAGAATAGGATTATTTTGGGGCATAAATGGAAAGGAGAGGGTCTGAAAAAAATTATAAAAATGATAATAATGGGAAATTTTGCTTTTAAGTGCGTAGTAGGAAGGGTGTAAAGAGGCCCATATTTACCCTTTCCTCGAAGAGAAAGTGAAAAAAGCAGGGTAGGGGTTATTTGCGATGCCATAAAAGGACTTGCAGACTATGAATGTTCCTGAGAACTTGATAAATTTTTGGACTTGAAATGGTCTTACTCTGTGCCAAGTTTCAGGTAAGTTGAGCCGGTGTAATTTTTTAAAATATTTTTTATGTTATAAAGGAATGTATAGCAAAATAATTGGTAGTCTGTGTCCATTGGATAAAAATTATTAAAGCTAAGGCACGTAACTCTTTACAAACCGATAGGCGGCGCGGTTAAAGCTACTAAATCTGCCAAGGGTGAATAGAGAAACACCGTGGATCGTCACCCTTGGCTAGCGAAGATGGATGGATTGTATATTATAACATTTTGGTTGTTTTTGCTCACTTTCTGTTTAAACGTATTAAAGCTGGTATGTATTTCAAAATTGTCTCATATTCATTTCAAAACTGTAAACAAAAACTTACTTTCAAAAGAAAATGCTGTTATTTTTTATTTTTTGTGACGTAACATTGTTAAACATTCATTTGCACCGCAAATTTAATTCAAAAATGATTTATTTTATTTTAAACAGTGTATTGTTAAGAGGTAACACCAATGACAGAAAAACAGCTATTGTTCATTTTCAAAAGAGCAGTCTGACCAAACCACATTCACTACTGTTTGGAAAATGTGTTTTTTGGAAAATATAATGTTGCATTATTACTTTTAGTTCAATAAAGATGCAAAAACATCTACTTTTTTTTTTAATTTTCACCAAAACTATTTAGCTGCTTTTTGTTTAATTGACCCATACACAGATGTGGCATTATGACTCAAAACATCTGAGACAGCAACATAGCTCCGAGTCTTTGTTCCTGTGTCACTTTTAGAGTATACAACCATTGTGTGCAGTGTGATAACTGCTGCATTCCAGTATGCAGACTGAACTTCCTCTACTGATGTACATCCATAATTTTCTGCAAAATCCATTCAAATAACTATTTCATCACTGGAAAGGGTTTCACGCAGTTTTCTCATTTCTTGATACTGGACATATATCCCCAGATAGCAAGCTTACGTTGGCCCAGTGTTGGGCCACTGTTGTCAGTTACGTTGGTCCAATGTCGGAAAATGATGTTGGGCCAATGTAATTTTGCTCATCGGCGCAACGTTGCGCCGACATATTGGCGCAACGTTGGCCCAATGTCATAGAACGATAATTCTGACGTTGGTCCAACGTTGGGCCACTGTTGTCAGTTATGTTGGCCCAATGTCGGAAAATTTATATTGGGCCAATGTAATTTTGCTCATCGGCACAACATTGCACCGACATGTTGGCGCTACGTTGGCCCAATGTCATACAAAATTTACAATTCTGATGTTGGCCCAATGTAGGCCCAACGTATTTGTGCTCCTACATGTAGGCGTTACATTGGCCCAATGTCAAACAATGATACATGTAATTCTTATGTTGGCCCAATGTTGTCCCAACATATTTGTGCACAAGGATATTTAGAAATCTATGGAATTCCATGGAAATGTAAGAAATCCCAGGAATATACAATGAAAACTGAAATAATGATAACATCACAGTTTATCATAGATCAAATCTATATTTCAAAATTTAAAAAATCGTTTCTTTTACAATGTGTTTTGAAACAAATATTACATATACACTTATAGATGTACAATGTAAGCACATTTTTTCAAAGTATTCTCACTGATCGACATTTCTTTGTAATAAAACAAACTATTTCTTTTTTAAAATATGGCATTAATGATTTGACTTAATGACATTGGGAGAGGTCATTGCAGTTACAATGAACTTCCAGTTGCCCATGTACATTTACCGTACAAAGTTAATGAATAGACTAGAGTGAAAACACATGTATTAAGTACAAAATATCTACTACACAACTATATTAATAACAAAGATCCCATAAAATCAACACATGCTATTTTCACCGAATATGCTAAAGATCATAATTCAGTTAGATCCGAAATTTCTCAAGTGTCTGCTTGAATCACTTCCTCACTGATATCCCATGAAATTCACAATAATAAATAAGTAAAAGATGGCGTTATGTTAGAGGGTAGCCAAATAAATGGTTATGTCACGAACGGATTCATTT